ATTAATCAGACTCCTAATAAACTGAGCTATATCCTCCCGAGCGAAGTGGAGTATGATTGAAGTAGTCAGATCCTTTTTCTATTCTTTTCCCTCATGCAGCTGGACCATCCTGTATATTACAGAGATCAACAAAGGGAACCAGTTTAACAATATGGAACTTGGAGGAAGGCTTTCCTTGGCACAGGTAGAAGCAAGTTCATTTTTGTTGCTTTTCCATATCTCCTGAGTACTCTCTATGCTACTGAATTTTTGAAAATTTCCCTACAGTGTAAACCTTGCAAGATTTAATTTTATTTGTACAAGTTCATTCTTGTTACTTTTCCATATCTCTTGAGTAATCTCTATGCCGCTGATTTTTTGAAAATTTTTGTACAGTGTAAACCTTACTGGATTTAAGCTTAGTTCAACAATGAAATGTTCAATTTTATAAGTTTCATTTGTTTCCAAAATGTGTAATGAGAGATCTTTGTTCTTTGTGGTTTCCATTTATTTTGCCTTAGGTTTTCATGAGTTCTCGCTATGCCCCTGTTTGGGCTCCATTAAAATTAAATTTTGGGGAAAATTGAGTTTTGAAATAGTATTTTTTGGAGAATGTGTGGTTTAATATTAAGGAAAAATTTTGGGTTTGCGTATAATATTAGTTTATTAGAAAATGTGTGGCCAAAAATAAGAAAGAGAAAAATGTATTTTTACAAAAATGGAGCCTAAATATGGGCTATGTTTAGAACATTTTTACCATATTTTAATTTCCTTCTTTGTTATGTGTTCTTATTTTGAAACGTAAGCAGACCTTTCACAGATTTTCAGTCAACTATTATGCTTGTGTTTTTGCAACTCCTCATTCATCATGTGTTTTCTTATGTTTTTCGCTGAAGCTATTTTTATATTTTATGGATATGTTCTTTCCATTCTTATTACAAGTTTCATAATCATTCTATACTGGTTGGTGGAGTAGCACTAGCATGTCCTTTGTCGTTCGAATTTTCCCTTCTCTATTACCTTTTCTTTTGCTTCTTTCCTCTTTCATCATTTTTATCTTTGGTTCTATGACAGCAACATTCTCAGCCAAACAGGCTTCAGCATGATCATAACGTATAGCATATAGCACGCAGGGCATTAGATGAGAAGGTTAAAGAGATGAAAGACCAGGTAGTGAGGGCCAAAGCATACTTGAATTTTTTACCACCAAACAGCAGCTTTCATTTTGTAAAGGATTTGAAGCTAAGAATTAAAAGAGGCTGAACGAGCTATGGATCAAATCACCAAATCTTATTCTCTGTCTAGGAGGTAGAACCCTATTTATTTCTCTGTCTATTATCCTTTTTCTTCTGATAAATCCTCCTAATATTCTTCATTTTCCTTATTTTAATTGAAAGAGAACTTTGAATAGAGCCCTTTAACTAATGAATGGTGATTAATATTTTTTAAAGTGGGCATCAATAGCAGTTCTAGATTGCGTTTAACAATGCAATTCTTTTTTTTCCCCCAATTTCAAAAGTGATTTTTTCTGCAGGCAGTTAAGTTTCTAAATATGATTAGATTGCATGGGAAGGTTATACGATGAATAAGGTATGTAATTACATGTCATTTTGTACTTCAGTTTGTCACCATTTTGTATGTTTTTGCGGATCCTAGTATCTTTATTGTTATTGTTATTGTAAGAATCACTGCAACATTGTAACTAAAATATGATTAATTTGTTTAATCAACTTGTTTTGCTTTTCAAGCATCTAAAGATGAGAAGTGTTGATATGGGAGCTAACCTGTACATCGGAAACATTCACCCTGTAAGAAATTTTGGGATGCTTGAATTTACTTTAGCACTCCTTGTTTTCTTGTTAGTTTAGATATTATATAAAACAGTAACAGAGCACACACACTTCTCTTGCATAATTGATTTACCAGCAAATTGAAGACAACATTTGAACTTCAGAGTTTATTTGATTTTGATATTTAATTGACGACATTCGTGTATTTTGTAGGTTGAGTTACTCATGTACAATTAAAAATTGCCAATTGAAGCCACTTCATAATATTTGGAAGGTAAGTATATGGTATCTTCAATTCCTAGAGTTTATAATGTTCATTTTCCGATATTGAACCTAAAGCTGATAGTTTATATGGTAAAAAAAACTTCACAGAGTGCTAGATTCTTTTTGCCTGTAATGGCCTTTGTGTATATGCACGTGCCAGATGTATAGTGATTAGTTATTTGTGTGCATATAATTTTATGTTTCAACAATGGATACATATCTGCATCTGCCAATAAAATCATAGGGTAAATGAGTTAGTATGCAATTGAAGTTTTGGTGGTGGTTTGTTGGTTGCAGATATGGTGATGGTGAGCCTACTGACAATGCAGCAAGGTTCTACAAATGGTTTAGAGGAAAAGGATAGAGGAGATTGGCTTAAGAATCTTCTGTATAAAGTTTTCAGCCTCGAAAACTGGCAATATGAACATTTGAACGATGTCTAACATGTATTTAACTTCTATATTTTATTTCATTTGGTACGCTGGCCCATGATCTTTAAATATAATGCCATGATTGTTTGTTAAAGGGTTCTTGTTTATTTACAATGCGGGGAAACATATTGTGATTGTGTTGGATAACCTAGTCGTCAAGCAAGTTATGTTTTTTATTCTATTATTCATCCATTGATTAAAATTTCTTGGTCTTGCTTTAGACAAATGAGATGTTTATTTCCATTCTCTCTCAGTTGTGCTCGTACTTTTTTATTCGTTCATTTAAGCCCCTATTTGAACCCTATTATTCAAAAACTCATTTTTTTGTCCAAACTTATTCCCTTATTGCCCAAAAGGGATGTTTTCTTTCCATGTCATTAATTGTCAAGAAACGAAAAATGTAATTTATTGTATGTTGCATCATTATGCTAAATGTGTCCTAGGATTAATGTCGTACTGATTGTCAACCTACTATGATTTACCTGAGCTAGGGACCGGTAATGAAAATTTAGGCTGATGATGAAAAATTATTCATGTGGCCAACTCTAAAATTTAGTGACAAGATTGTTGTTGCGTCATTGAACCTTTACCAGTTCTGTGTAAATTGCAAATAACTATAATTTTGATTGTTTTCTTTCTTGAAGCAGAATAAATGGTGGTGGCTGTGCAAGGTTTGTTGAATCATGCTAAATGTAACATTTGCGGATGTCTGGGTTGTATTTATCTTTTCATTCGCATCAGTTTTATACATTCCTGTCTTTCCACAACTGGATTACGTACATGTGTTTTGGATCTTGTAATGCTTGTTATTGCATTAATTCTCTTGAAGGTTATGAAATTTGTATTAGTTAATCAGAATTCCAGTATATTATGCTGAAATAAGATGATGATTCGTCCATGAAAATCAGTCAAGAACACGTATTATGCACGTGGTATTTTAATGACTTTGTTGTGATACACAAAATCATGATTACATACATTAACCAACAATTTATTTATTTTCGGACAATTAACAGCATTTAAAAAAAAATAAAAAAAAATCATACTTTGAAAATATAGCTCATTCAGAGCAAATGGTGAGATAAATAGAAGTACATAGATTATAAATCAGAAATAACATATCATAATTTAACATCTGTGTACAAAAGCATTGCCATCAAGCATGATACACGTAAGCATAGTCTGCTCAACTGATACAATGAGATAAATTATAAATCAATATAAATAAAGTACAAATGTTTTCAATTTTCTTTGACTGACAAATTTTGAGGAAAAAAAACGACGGGAAAAAAGTGTTGTTAACAATATGAGTGTTAGTGAAGGAAATTTTAGAGTTAAAAATTTAAATGGACATTGAATTTTACATAGTGGTTTTCATTGATTTTTAAATTTTCGAAAGATCACCAAACTCATCAAACATTGAAATTTTAGATTTTTTCAAATGGCCATCAAACTTACCAAATCGTTATATAAGCTCCCGTTTGACCCCTTTTAAAACTCTGCAATTTAATTTAATTTTTCCTCTCTCTTACTTTTAATCACACAATTTTCAATAAAATAATATTATACTCAAATCGAAAACTTTTCAATCACACAATCTTAAAAAAAAAATACTATTTGCTCCCATTATAAATTCAAATAATGGGGGCCAAACGAAGCCTAAATGACCATTAAATTTAAAAATAAAAAAATAAAAAATCGAATGATCGGCAAATTTATCAAATTAGATGGCCAATTCATCACTTGATTACCTTCTTAAAAAATATAAGTGTGTTTGATTGCAATTATGAAATTTACATGAAAATAAAATAAATTCTAGGCAATTGAATTGTCGATTAAATGTATTTGATTGATTTTATTTTCAACTTTGAAAATGTTATATTTGTCTATTTTTTATTGTTAAGTAAATGGGAGAGGAGTAAATGAGAGAAAAAGAGTGAATATATATATATATATATATTTTTTTTTTTTTTTTTTTTTTTAAAGAAAAATATGGTCACGTAACTAAAAGTAAGAAAACTTTTTATTAATTATAATAATTTTTTTTTTTTTTTTTTTTTTTTTTAAAGAAAAATATGGTCACGTAACTAAAAGTAAGAAAACTTTTTTCATGAAAAAATATCAATCAAACAATACAAAAATAAAAATTTGGATGAAAAAAATGACACTTTTCATGAAAAATATTGACAATCAAACGCACTCTAAAATATTTGAAAATTGCAGGTAATTGGAAAATACACAGACGAGACCAACACGTTGATACGATATCGTGTACCCTCACCATTTAGTGTCCTGTCGTCGTCCAAAAACAGCATGTAGAAGGTTAACATTCCACATTGTCACATGCATAGTGAGACCAATTTATTCTAATTGCATAGTGAGACATATGAGTGGTGATTCATTTATTACCTAAAAAAAATGAAAAAAATTCAAAAGAAGCAATCAAATTTATTGGGCAGTGGGACAAAAGTGAAAGACATGGACCTTATTTTCGGTACATTCATGTCACAAAATGAGAAATTACATATTGAAGTATCATTTCCACTTCTAAGAAACGAACTCACTCGCCCCTCGGGGCACTTCTCAACTGGCAAAGGATGTGTTCTCTCAAGTTTGGCAGTTCAGAGGTCGTGGGTTCGATTCGTGGGGCTCTTGGAAGGCAAGGCATATACTGGAAGGCAAGATTTATCCTGAAAGACAGGAATGTTTTAGAAGGCAAGGGGCAACGTGGGTTGACTCACTAGGCACTTTGATAGTTCTGTTGGAGAGGCGCTCGGACCCTGGTCAATAGGAGGCACATCCCGGGGTTTAATTGGTCTGTGTGAAGAGGGGCCGCGTCACAGACCCAAGGAATAGTCGTCGAAGGTGGACACCTCCCGACCCAAGACATCACGTTTGAGAAAGGTCAAAATCCTTTTTTTTCTTTTTCTTGCTTTTGAAAACGGGGCCCTGGTAAAAAAGATTTTAATCTTCTTTTTTTCCCCTAGCACTACCATGAGAATATCACCATGAGAAAAATCCTACAAAAAACTATAAATATTCCATTTAAAAAAAGTATTGTTATTCAATGCATTTTTATACTATATTCAGACGACTTTCAAAGCATTTTCTTTAGTAACTTCACTTGGTAGTATTGAAATCTAATAATTCATATTTTATATGCAACATTTTTCCCCTTGGTCTCCTCGTCCTGCAACCTTGTTAAAAATGTCCACTTGATCAATCGATATTCTATTGGACTATTTATTTTTAGGTAAAAGTTGGTGATTATGGTAGAAATTAATATGAAGTTGAGTAGTAATATAAGGGATAATTAAACATACAAAATATAAAGTATGCAAGAAATTTCCTGGTAAGATCATTCAAAAAGTGCTTAGAGATTAGTGATTGACAATCCATGAAATATATTAGTGATTGATAATCCATGAACCCGAATAAAAAAGGTTAATAACAATTTGTTCGGACAAAGTCTGCAAGTGTACAGGATCATTAACAAGTTATAGAAATCAGTGAATTTCGAATTTATCGTTTTCACGAGAAATAAGGTCTAATATCTATTTCAATAACTTTTTATCAAATTCAAAGTGATATAATATCAAAAGAGATGGTTTGTATATTTTTTATACTAATTCTAAACTAAGAAATCAAATAAAGTATTTATCGAGAATGTGATGTTTGTATGCGAATCATGAATCCCCCTATTGTCATTTAATTCAATTCTTAATTCGTAATTTAATAAATTTATGCATTCAAGACAATCAATAATACACTTTTATTTTATATTTTTTTCCAAGATATATTAAGCCTATGTTTAACAGCACCTAATCCTATTTCTAGTCTGAATTCATGTGAAAAACATGCATTGATTCACATGATTTATCACAAATGATTGCACATGACATGAATATTATTCTTAATACCTATTGTCCATGTATTGATTTTGCCACATTTTAGATTTATTGTGAGTATTCATACATTATAACAAGCAACTTATTATCTAATTGATAATCAAGCAATCAAATAGTTCAATGTGAAAGCAAAAGCAATTAAGAAAAATCAAGAAATACTAAACTAATTGTCATATATTAAAGTGAACAAACAATAGAATTCATCATTCATCCAATACAATGAAAAACTTAGCTTAACATTCTTATAATTAAACTACATAAGAGTAATTGGAAAAACATCACCCAAAAATAAAAAAGGATGGAAGAAGTAGGAGAAATTCACGTTCTTGGCTCAAATCTGGAAACTGAGCTGTGAATCTTGAAAAAATCCCTGTATGATTCACCTTGAATTGATATATAGACTTGTTCTTCACCTTCAAAACATGTAGAATATAATGAAATTTAGGTCGAATAGAGGTTTAAATGTTATGATTGAGTTTTGGTATTTAAAGGATGCCAAAAAGATTACATTGAATTGTTACCAAAACAAATATAAAGAAATTTGACTGTTTCTATTTTTTTAACTGAGGCGAGCGCCTAAGCATATCTAGGGTGCACATTTGGTTGGTTTGGGGGACCTCAATTGCCTCATTTTTGTTGGGGAGCATGCCTCTCCTGTAGGCGAGGGCGCGTGCCTCACCTAAGTTTTAACAGCCAAACAGTTTTCAGTATTTTTATCGTAATTTTCCCTTTTGATATTCGATTGAGGTGATTTAAAGTACGTTGGAAAGCTAACTCATAGGGTTACAATTCTTTTAGGAATATCATTTTTCCAATTCAAATGTTTGCTATGCCAAAATTAGGTTTCAATATGAGGCTGAAAATTCAAAGTATAACTTTTTCGGTTGAAAGTTTATGCTTCATTTATCTGACTTATTTCCTCATCCAATTGCCTCCTAACACTCGAATATTTATCATGAGGTCCGAAACCACTTTTGAGTATTTAAACTTCAGTCCCCGAACTTTGAAGTTGCTTCATTTAAGCTATTTTTCCTTCTTTCTTTCAATTCTTCTTCCAAATATATAAAAGCAATAAATAACAAATTAGACACTAATTCATCTAGAGAATAACAAAATATCTTAATTTAGAACCCCTGATAAGTGTAGAAACTACACTTATCAATAGTGTGAAATGGTAAAATTGACTAAAGATGGGAAAATATTGGATCTGCTTATAAATATATCTCATTTATGACAAACCTTCTCATCTATAAATCAATATATCACCTCATGTATACACGCACTTCAATCTCTCTATCCTTCTCTCCCTCTGACAAACAAATTTTCATACAGATTCGTTTATTTGAAAATGCAGTGGTGCATTCTTTTTTTCGTCGAATTCTTATCTTTAACCTTCCATTAATTTGTATGTTTCATTCTTGATGATGATTTATATCAACATATTTTATTTTTATGCTTTAAAATGAAGGAAAAATATTTTTTTGTACTTTTTTTATTTTTTTTAAATATGACGAAAAAATTAGTTGTTTTAACGAACTTTTGGACATAGAATTGTTATCAAATATAAAATGTCTTAATTAATGAAAAGTTTGAGAACAAAAATACATGAAAAATTGTTGGAAACATAAGTACTATAACAATCAAAGATTAAGAATTTTAAGTGGAATTAAAATGTGGGGGTGAATATTTGAATTACTTATTTTTTACCCCTTAAGATAAATGATTCCAAACGGAATTTTTATTATTTTTATATTACATCTTTATTGATCTTTACGTTACATCTTTACATTTTGCAAGCATATTTTGCAATCTCATTTAGCCATTAATTAAAATATACTTGGGGTTAAATACACAAATTGCCACCCAATTTAATTTTGTTTCATTATGACCGTCTAACTTTATACTTAGTTTCACAATGACCTCCCAATTTGATTTTATTTCTTCATGACT